GCTGTTAAGGACTCTTCCTCCAATCCTGATACCATATTCTTCTGCATATGTTGTTGTTGTTAAGTGCCATAGAGTCAGTTCTGACCTATAGTGATCCTTTATAGTGTTTTGGAGGAGCAGCTGGTGAGCTTGAACCTCTGACCTTGCAGTTCAAATGGCTTTGCAGTCTGTCGCATTAACCCGCAGCATCACACCAGGACTCCATATAATTCTTTATATAATCCTGTATTATTCTTCATATAATACTACTTTTCGGATTATTTTCTCTACATACAGATGGATTAAGTATGTTGAAAGAATGCAACCCTAGTGCACACCTTTCCTATTTTTAACCATTCAGTTTCTCCTTGCTCTGGTTGAACAACTGCCTGTTGGTCTATGTATGGGTTCCTATTAGCACAATTAAATGTTCTGTTATCAATGTTATCTGTCATGATCCACATAGTCAAAGGCCTTTGCATTGTTATTAAAGCACAAATACACATCTTTCTGGTATTCTCTGCTATCACCCAGGATCCATCTGAAGTCAGCAATGATATCCTTAATTCTATAAACTATGTTCAAGGAATAGTGTATTGCTTGTCGGTGTACTATTGCAGCCATTTTAAATTACCTTCAACAAAAGTTTACTTGCATGTGATATTAATGATGTTACTCAATGACTTCTGCATTCTGTTGAATCACTTCTCTTTAGAGTGGGCACCAATGTGGATCTCTTCCAATCAATTGGCTAGGTAGCTGTCTTCCAAATTTCTTGGCATAGATGAATGGGTGCCTCCAGTGCTGCATCAATTTGTTAAGATTTCAATTTGAATTCCATCAGTTCCTGGAGACTTGTTCTTTTGTCAATGACTTCAGTGCACCTTGGACTTCTTTATTTAATCTCAGTGGATCTTGATCATATACTACTTCTTTATATGGTTGAACATTGTCCATTTCTTTTTGATACAGTGGCCCTGTGTATTCCTTCCATCTTGTTTTGATACCTTCTGTATCATTAAATATTTTGCTCATAGAATCCTTCAATGTTACAAATTGAGGCTTAAATTTTTTCCTTCAGTTCTTTCAGCTCCAGAAATGCTGAGCATGTTCTTCCCTTTTGGTTTTCTAACTCCTTATTTTGCACAAGAAGTTACCTTCTCAAGCTACCCTTTGAAATTTTGTGTTCAACTCTTTTACCTCTTCATTTCTTATACTTGCCTCAGCATTTACATGTTGGAGAGCAAGTTTCAGAGTCTCTCCTGACATACATTTTGATCTTTTCTGTCTTGTCTTCTTCCTGGATGATGTTTTTTATGCCATCCTATAACTCTTCTAAGGAACACTAGTAGCATAAATAGTTACGAACCTGACTGCTCACTTCAAGGTCAGCAGTTCAAAACAACCAGCTGTTCCACAGGAAAAAGATGAGGCTTTCTGCTCCCGTAAAGATTTATAGCCTCGAATACCCTATGCGGGTCACTATGAGTCAGAACAAACTCCACAGCACACCGCCACCACCACCACTACCATATAACTCTTCTAGTCTTCAGATATTAGCATCTAATGAATCGAATCTGTACTTGAAATGGTTTCTAGTTTCAGGTGGGATATGTTCAAGGTCATAATTTGGCTCTCAGAAAATTCTGTTAATTGTACTTTAAAAATACATCCAGAATCAGTTAACCTCTGATCACCACTGTGACCACCAAACTACTGCAAGCAAACATCATTTCTCACTTTGGCTGTTGCAATAGCATCCTAATGTTGATGCTGTAGTTGTTAAAGTGCCACCGAGTTGGTTCTGACTCATAGTGACCCTGCATAGAGTTTCTGAGGAATGGCTGGTGAATTAAAACTGTTGACCTTGTGGTTAATTGACCTTACAGTCCAGTATATTATCCCACAGCACCACACCAGGACCCTGTATAGGGTTTCCAAGGAGCGGCTTGAACCACCAACCATATGGTTTGTACCTCTCTGACCTCATCTCATAATATTCCTGCCATTGTTCTTTTGCCCTAGCCACACAGGATCACTTACATTTTACCTCAAATATGTCAGGTCCAGTTGCGCCTTAGAGCCTTTGTGCCATCTCTTTACTATGCCTAGAGCTCTCTTACCCCAGAATACTAGCCTCAGTTATTTGATGTCTTTGGTTAGAGCTCACCTCTTCTATGCAGCTGACTCTCACTACCTTGTATCAGTTCCTTAGCACTATTCTAACACAAATACCACAAGTGGGTGGTTTTAAATCACAGAAATTCATTTGCTCACGGTTCTGGATACACTAAAAGTTCAAATACCAGTCGCAGCCATTTCAGTTCTTTCCTTGTCGGCAGCCCTGTGTGATCTTTGACTTACAGGTCCACTGGCATCTGTCTCCCCACTCTGGTATGTGTATCTCTGAGTCTGATTTGTTCCATTTCCAACTCAGAAGTGATTCAATTTAGAACGCACTCTACTTGGGTTAATCAGCTGCTCCTTAGCAGTGAGGATAGTAAGACTTTGTCTCTCATTCTTTGTACAGGCTGTTAGAATGGATCAGTCCCTGGAGAAGGATATCATACTTGACACAGAGGAAGGTCAGGAAAAAAGAGGAAGACTCCAGTGAGATGGAATGACATGGTGGCAGCAACAATGGGCTGAAACATAACAATTATGAGGACGGCACAGGACTGGGCAGTGTTTGGTTCTGTCGTGGGTAGAGTTGATATGAGTCAGAACCAATGCCACAGCACCTAACAACAACAACAACTACTAATACTTGAGTATGGTCTACTTAAGTTAACAAAATCTGTTTTCGAACAGGATTGCATTAACAAGTATTGGAGTTAGGATTCTAACATATATTTTAGGGGGACACAATTCAATTCATAGCACTATCCTACCTAATACTAACTCTAGACTTCCCCCTTAAACTGCTTTCTTTTTGTTTTCCCCAAAGCACTAATGTGATTGTTAAGGTTTTGTGTCAACTTGACTGTGCTGAGAATCTCAGTGGTTTAGCAGTTAAAACATGGTAATCATTCATGAGGAAATCTAATATAACGTAATCACCATGATGATGAGAGCTTCTAGAAGCAGCCAATCAATTGAAAGTTTCCTCGGGGGTGTGGCCTACTTCCAATATATTGAACACTCATATTCAACAGCTGCTATTGGGAATCATATATAAGCTTCACTGGTTTTGCTTCATTAGAGAACCCAGCCTAAAACAACTAGTATGCTAGATTATTTATTCCTTCATCTTGTTTGAAGTGTATTATTCCCCAATCTCCCATTAGATTGCAAGATACACAAGTCTTAATGTGTGTTTTATTCACTAACCCTAAGTACCCAGATGCTCCCTGGTAGTCTGGTGGTTAGGATTTGGTGTTTTCTTCTTGGAGTTCAGGTGTGGCACTATAGGATAAGCACTGGACTGCCATCCAAAAAGCCCACGTTTCTAAACCAACAGTCACTCCTTGGGAACCCTACACAGTGTCACTATGAGTCAGAACAGACTCAACAACATTTTAACAACAACAGCAAATAAGTACTAGGAACAGTGTCTGACATACAGTAAGTGCTTAATAACCATTTGGTAAACAACTAATTAATTCAAATTAATTCTAGTATCTAAGGAGTTCATGGTGTACTGGGAGAAACAAATAAACATAAATGATTACTAACATATGCCAAGACACAAAGGTAGCATTAAAAAGGTGATGAGGAGAGTTCACCTTCATCTCCACCCTGCTTTCAAGTGGTGAAACACCTGAGGTATTAAAAGCTGGAGAATTTGCCCAGAGTGACTAAGGGAGTGTGAAGAGACTGAAAGAAAGCAAAGACAATTCAATTAGAAAGGAACATCATCACATGCTGAGATTACTTTTTTTTATTTTTTTTTAATGGAATTACAAGTCAAGTAGCCAACTCTTGTTAAAATATCAAAAAGTCAGGTTTGAGATGGAGGGACCTAGATGTGGGAGGTAAAGAAATACAGTTGAAACTTTAGGTAAGAGTCAGATCCTGAAAGGCTTTGGGTTTATTCTTTCATAGTTTTCAATCTATTCTCAGAGCAATTTACTAACCATATCCATCTGAGACCTTCTTAACAGAGACAAAGCAATACTTGGAAGGGATTTTCAGTTCCCTGAGTTTAAGATACAAAAGAAAAACCCAGTCACATTTAATTTGACAAGGTAAAGGAGTGGGTGTGCTACTATATCGAATTTAACTGCTACAAAATCATCTCTCTGATCTACTGAGTTTAGACTACTTTCATAAGTCTTGATCTCCCTGTCTATCTAAACACTGATTCATTTTCAGCAAGCTTCAGGCTAGCATTGCTCACGTTAATACCCAACAAATCCACCAGGTGTTAGCGACACATGATTTTGTATAAAAGGTGAACTTGAGGCTTCATTCAGTTATAGCTTTCCCCTGGCAAAGCAGCTGACCACATCTAAGTCTTCGCATTTATTTGTGACAATTACTTTTGAAATTCTAGATTTTTCAAGACCTAAAGAACGAATCTAGAGTTTTTCACTACCAATTCACTGATATCATCTTATTTAAAAGAAAGGTGAGCAAAAGTACATACCAGTATTTATGAGTTGTTAAAAATGAAAATGTAATTTTGTAGTACTGAATGATCTTTTTAAAATTTAAATGAAAAATAATCTTTAAATGTGATAATCAAGGAGCACTTTTTTTGGCAGGGGGGTGGGACGGGCACCTCTAATGATCACAATTGCTTCAGAATAATCACTCTGAGGTAAAAGTAGTACTGTAATCTTTAGATACTGTTCCTTTTCCTTTTTTTAAAGCATTCTATTGGAGTTTGATGTTTAAATGTGTTTCTACTTTGACACAGAGGAAGAAGAGAAAAAGAAAAACAATTAGACAAAGCAAAAACGTGATGGGGGAGGATGGGTAGACCAATTTTTTTTTGTTTGGTCAACTTGTGTAACAATTGCTAATTTGAGGATTTCATGTTTTCTAATGTGCCATAATTGTTTGCCTCCCAGCCCAGAATGAAGTCGATCCACTTTTGTTTCTTTTTCTGTTGCTGGAAAGCTATAAGCTGCAGTGGCTGTGAGCTGACCAACATCACCATTGCAGTGGAGAAGGAGGAATGTCGCTTCTGCATAAGCATCAACACAACTTGGTGTGCGGGCTATTGCTACAACCGGGTAGGTATTTGGCTTTGCTGACAGTGAGAGGATATGTGGCAGATTTCATCAATGTCACGTTCAGTAACAATGTATCAGTACATATTCGTTGTTTCTCTCAGACGATGGCCATGAGTCCCTTAGCCAACATTGTCTAAAGTGTGATTAGGATGAATTACCATGCTATCATTTAGATGTTTAGACTTCATGTCCTTTAGGTAAATTTAGGGCAGGCTCAGGTTGCTATAAATGATGAATTCAGCAGTCTGCCAACTTTGAGTTATTAAAAAAGCCTGCTAGATTTTATAAGTAGAGAGATAAATATGTAAGCACACACACACTCACATAGATACAATCATACACTGAAACCGAATCCACTGCCAACATAACAATTCTTTCCCTAGCAGCCCTAGACAACAAAGTGAGCCAGCTTCATAGGGTTTCCAAGGCTGTAAATCTTTACAGGAGCACACGGCTTCTTCTTTATCTCTTGGAGCGATGGTGGGTATGACCCACTGAACTTGCAGTTAGCAGTCCAATGTGTAACTCAGGAGCTACAACATTTTCTAAAAGTCAGTTGCCATAATTGAAGTCATACTTTTGTAATACAGATAATATCAAAATATGTTTCAAAACCACATATAAACACAGACTAATTATAAAAATTATTATTTGTTTCCACCTGAATGTAAAAACCAAACAGATTCTAGAGAACTTAGTACATCCTCATAAACTTTTAGGGAAAAACAAAAGCAAAAACATGAGTCGAAAAGTCTAGTTCCTACTTTAGGCTGTTAAGACAATGAAAGTACATAGGTATAAAAACACTTGTCTACATTCTAACTGCTTTTCTTCATTAGGCCAAGTAAAGAAATTGTTGTTGTTGTTAAGTGCCGTCAAGTCAGTTCCGACTCATAGTGACCCTGTACAGGGTTTCCGAGGGTGTAAATCTTTACGGGAGTAGAAAGCCTCATCTTTCTCCCGCGGAGCGGCT